CGAATTGGAAAGAAATTCAATCATTTCTCAAGCCCAGACAAAATGCATCTGAACTAGCAACAATCATTGCACAAGCATTTTATTCTGAATTTGAAAAATTAAAGGATATATTACATGAGTGCTTTGAAACGATCGCATATATAATTAGTGTGATAGAATTTCAAAAACATGGGCTTCTGCATGCTCACGTAGTTATGTGTGTCCACTCTGAACTCCCGATTGACCAGATTGACAAAATTATTTCTGCAGAAATGCTTTACGAAAATGAAAGCTTAAAAGAAATAGTTAAAAAATATATGCTTCATAGGCAGCAACATTCACCCTGTTGTCTTTGTAATGGTGTTTGTATTTATAAAAATCTAAAACCAATCATTTCATCAACTTATATTAATGAAAAGGGCTATGTTTATTATCATTGACGAATGCAGAAAGACGTATAGATTGTGCCATATAATCCTGTGCTACTAATAAAGCTAAGATGTTATATTAATTTTGAAATAGCTTCCACTGTACATATATTTATGTATTTATACAAATACATTTTTAAAGGACCCGATTATGTTAAGTATACGTAATTGATACTAACCAATCCGAACTACAAAATTTTGGAATGACGAATCTCATTTATCAAACTGCAAATAGCAATAATCCTTCGTCAAAACAGCAACACATAAATGAATTCAAAGACTATATAAAAGGAAGATATCTATTAGCACCTGAAGCCGTGGTGAGGATTTTTCATTATTATATAACTTCAACAGATACACCTATATAAGCCCTTTCTATTCATCTTTTAAATACAAATATTTCACAGTATACACGTTTACATAATACTTCATTAGTATCTCTCTTAAATAGATATTTCCTTCGACTAATTGAAACTATATTTGATAACCTTAAATATATGGAATATTATGAACAATATGTGTTATATCCTTATAAACTACAGGATATACGCGAAAATGATTACCTTGAACAGGAACAGAATGGTGTGTTAAAAAAAATCATATGTAAACAAACCACTAATAAAATTACTAGAATCATTTTAGTCACACTAGGAGCTGGTGAACTCTTTTATTTGAGATGTATCTTAATATATCATGCTGCTCGAACATGGAATGAAATTAAAATATACAATGGAATTACGTACTCTACTTACCAAGAAACTGCATGTGGAATGGGTTTATTTTTGAATGAACATAAGGGTATGTTCACCATGGAAGAAGCTATTGAAAATTTCTCTACACCAGCACAATTGCAGTTTTTATTTACACAAATAATTCTAAACGGTGCCCGGCACTTAAAATTTAGGAAAAATTCAATAAAAATCTCTCTGCAGATATAAGAGAATGATATCATAACAATCAATTTGGTGCTACTAATATTATACTCCAGCAAATAGCTACAATACTTGCAGAGCATGGAAGACGTATATATGATTTTGGCCTTCCGGAACCACAGACATAGATACAAGAAGTAATAGCTGAATATCAATGTTATTCAGACTATGACAAATATGATCAACTATCCAATAAATTCCGCTCAAAAATAACCTCAGAACAATTGGCATTTCACGATAAAGTAATAACTTATATATTTCAAATACAGGAAAATGGATCTGTTCCTGTAACAAAATTTCCAAAATTTTTGGACGGAAAAGCCGGCTGAGGTAAAATCTTCCTTATTAATGCTATTTGTCACTCAATCTGAGCTGCCAAAAAAATTGGTTTATCTTGTAGTACTACCATATTAGCAGCACTATTGTATCAAGGTAAACGCACAGCTTACTCGCTATTCAGGATACCTGTGGAAGAAAATAACATTAATATTCAATCGACAATTAAATACTTTAGTAGTTGTGCAGACTTAATTCGTGAATCAGTGTTGATAATTTGGGATGAACTTCCAATGGCTAATAAAGCTGTACTAGACTGCATCAATCTCCTACTCAGAAAAATTTGTAATAAAGATGAGCCATTTGGAGGAAAACCATTTATAGGAGTAGGTGATTTCAGACAAGTAGCCCAAGTAGTTAAAGGGGCAGACAAAAGTGCTACAATTAACACATTAATTAAAACTTTGTATTTGTAGGCTCACTTCGATATATACATTCTTAACTAGCCTATATATAACGCAAATGATCCAGGATTTGCCGAATTCGTCGATGCAATCAGAAATAACTAGCAAGAACATAACGTGTCTTTAGAAATTTTTCAAACAACTCAAGACATCAATAAAACAATTTATTTCTTATATCTGAAAAATCTACTGTCAAATCATTCTGTGTTATAAAAAAGAGCTTTCCTTAGTCCCAAAATATTCTGGTGGATGATTTTAATACTAAAATTTTTACAATCTTACCAGGAACTGCCCACACGTACTTTAGTTATGATATTGTCAAAGAAAATGACAAGATATTAAATAATCATCCCATTGCAACACCAGATTATTTGGCTCAATTAACTTACTCCGGGATATCTAACCATGAACTTTACCTAAAAGTTGGTACTATCATGCAAAATATCTCAGTTGAAAGAGGTTTGGTAAAATACACGCAAGTTATGATAACTAAATTAGGCCAACGATTAGTTGAAATAATAATACTTAATGATAACAATTTAAATAATCCACTTGAAGCTTACTTACTTCCCCAGATAAATTTTTACTTCCAATTTGATTACTGCTTTTGGACAGTATTTCGAAAGCAATTTTCATTGCGACTAGCTTACTCGACAATGTTCAACAGTTGTCAAGACCTTACTTTAGACCGCGTTGTTTTGGATCTTTGAACTCATGTGTTTGCACATGGACAGCTATATACCGCCATCTTCCATATTAAAAATAGAAATCATTGCTTAATATTATTAGCAGAAGATAATATAACAGCTGAAACAATTAATATTGTCTATAAAGAACTAATCCAATAAATAAAAATTAATAAACAAACCAATATACTGCCAACAATATAAAAACCTTAATAATTGAACCCCTACAAATAACCTAACACACTAAAATCAAATAACCACTACAAATTATAGCTAAATCACTTAAAAAAGTAAAAGAAAAATTCAATTCTATTAACTATTTCTATATTATCATAACCAATATTATATTAATATATATCATTATCTTCAAGCCAACATTTATATACCCTAAATTATATATATAAAATGCTGAATAATCACAAAACACCGAAATAACACTTATTATTTTTTTACTTTTAACAACTATAAAAAAATTATATAAAAAAACATAACTCGATTCTAATATATTCCCTAAAATTTAAAAATCAATTTCATGTTAAAAAAAAAAATTATACTTTTAATTAATAATCCCATTAGCCTAATAACCACAAATACAAATAACAACAATTAAAACAAAATACAACATTTTAAATATATATATGTTGACATAAATATATACTTCATACTTATTCAAATGAAAGCCTAAAAGCAATTTTCTTAATCTTCTTAATTTCCATTTTCTCATTCTCCTTTATAAACGTCTATTTGACTCGACTGATTACATCACTAATAAATAACGTCACTTAATTATATCTTAGAATAAAATTAAATGACGTTAATAAATTTACAATTCTATATGCTATTTCGATTACATTCAATCTACTCTTAAACCTATAAGCTACTAATAAATGACATGCACATAAAACTTTCAAACCCTTACAAAAACTAAAATAAATATACTAACTGAATACTTTAATTCTTTTTCTTGAATAAATGCTCTTAGACTATTACAATAGCGAAAATTCTGTTCAGATAGATTCTATTTTATTTTCAATTCAAATTTCACATGAATACGCATCAATAAATCTTTAAATAACACGATAACAACTGAATACATTTAAACATAAATTCAATACATACTCTAAATTCTAAACATAAATAAGCACAACTTTAATAAATAATTCATTAATAACCAAATCTATTAAAATCTTTATTATTAAATTCTAAATTCAAATTTGTAAAAGAGCTATGATCACACATACAAAAAAAAATACTGGTTATTTTATTTATTAATCCAACTAAAAATTACTCACGTATAAACAAACGATCTTTAAATATAAAAAAGCAAAACAAAATTTTCATGTGTCAGATCACAATTATAAACCATTAATGCAATAGCTTGATTAGAAACCAATTATTAAAATGATCATCTAAAAAATACTATATATTGCCCCAATTTATTTATAAATAAATCAAATTTCGTTGTTGAATAAATTTGCAATTCTTAAAAATTCTCTACCTTTTTAAACCATTGAAAAACCATTAAATAAAAACTCTCGACAAACCTACTTAAAAAATATATATTATAATGCCATGTTATTGTAATACAATTGTGAAGATTAATCAAGTTCGACAAACAGTAAATGAAAATATCAACTCAATTATTGTATAGGCCATTGGTACATACCCAATTGAACAAAAAGATAAAAAATCGAATTAATAATGTTTATACTGATTGAACCTGATAATAGAGACCCTGACAATCAAGCTGTTTTTGAAAAAAAATAGCTACTATATTGTCAGCAAAAAAATCGTATCTGAATACTATCATAGTACTAAAAGACCAAAGGTTATACAATTAAAATTTAATAATAATAAACCAAATAAAATATAATTACTTTAATAATTTGTATTTATAAAATATAGATAACAGTCACTATGTCAACAAATATTACTGTTAATAGAATTTTGGGTACAAACAATTGTCCATTAAATACTTCCCTAATTGGTATTGTTTAAAATGTTCCTGAAGAAGTTAAAAACACTGAAAATGCCATTATTAAAACTTTGGTCAATGACTATACTACCCAAGAACACAATATTACGGTCAATATTATCTATCCATATCTAAATTCACGATTTAAACACTTTAAGAACTTGGTTTGACCTGGTGAATTATTGCTTTTTGTTATTGGTTAACTTGAAATAATCCAAACCGAATTTTATATAGATGTGAAGGAAATTTTATACATCAATATGCAAGCAATAAAAAGAAGATTATCTGAACTTAATAGATCACAAATTCCAACATCATCCCAAAAGTCAACAAGATCCAAACTTTTACATACTTACCAAAACATTCTTGAAGAATCTGAAACCAATCCTGAACCTCCGACTCCAACAAATACATCAAACCTGGATGATGCAAAATCGTACTAATCTAAATCGTCATTACTGACTTCTCAAAGATCGAAACACACTAAAACAGAAACTTCAAGTGATGTAGAAGAAGAAGAACCACAAACAGACCAAGAAATAACTAAAATTCCACTTGAAGAAAAGAATAGTAAAACAACTACAGAAAATAATAAACACAAAAAAAACAACAAAGCAAACTCACGTGGACATGGCAAAAAGAACAAAATCAAAGAAAATATATGTAATACTAGAAGAAAACATAATACTAAGGTTATAGACATAAGCAATGATGATAAATAAGTAAATTTTATTAACAGTTAGTCTACTCTATTGTAAATATCTACTCATCTTATAATTTTATCATCATTATTGATATTTTATCATTATTACTATTATTAAATAAAGTTATTATTATTATTTTATTATCATAATATTTTTATTAAAAACAAATATACATAAACTAAATCCAAATTATTACCAAATTAAATAATACTAGATAAATAAATAAATAAAAACAACTACAACTTACAATTTACTCTTTTTCTCAATATTCCCACTTATAATGCAAAAATCTTTTTATGCAATACCCACTTATTATATCATTTACCATTATTCTATGCATAAACCTGTTTAAATTAAAACATCTAATTTCTGAACTACTTAATATATTAATATTACTAATCATACCAAAATTAAAAAACACTAACTATATTAATAGTGTAATAATAAAAAAAAAAACTATTTATAACAATTCTTAAACCAAGTAAGCTACATTGATTTCATTCTAAGCCAAATAATAAATATTAAACATAAAAACTATATATTAACTAATAAAAATTTCAAATCACAAGACAATACAATAAAAATTAAGTATGTTATAAGAATAATCTTAAATAAAAAAAACTATTTCTAAATATAGTCAATATATTCAAATAATATATATGAAAATACCAAGAAAAAAAAAACTACCAAAAATAACATATACCCACTGATCACATCTGAATATAATCATTACAAATTACCTTTAAAACAAAAATTCCACATGCCAAGATTAAAATCATTAGATCAACAAATATTTTTCCCAGCCATATCTATCTAATTCTTTAAATTAATACTTACCTTCCATAGTTACACTGTACTATCTTAGACATGTTAATTTTACTTATAATAATTATACTATTGTTAAGTACTTACATTATAAAAGTAAAAACTGATCCAGACTTAAAAAGTATATACGATACAAATAACTACTAACCTAAAACCAATCAAATCAATCCAGTAAACCAATCTAAACCCTAATAGTGACAACTACTATCAAACATATTAAAATTTAATTAAAATAATAAATTATTATATAAGATCTCTAAGTTACATTGTGAGATTCAAAATCAGATTAACAAAATTATACAACCAACTTATTAAAAAATAATTAGAATAAAAATTTAAAATCAAAATACAAATTATAATTAAACCAAACTTTACTAAACTATCTTTATGTAGAAGCAATTTGTAACCATTATATACATATTTCATTATACTAAATTTCAATTATATTGGTTAGATCTAATATATACAATGTATATACAACATAAAATTCAAAATTACAATAGAAATTTAACATAATTCACCAAATAAATAACTATGACATAATACTAAAATAATAAAAAGTTTATATCTTAAAATTATAACATATGCTTATACAATAAACTAAACACCAACTAACCCTAATATCTATACATAATTACATATATAACTAACAAATATTAAAAACATAACAATAATAATAATAAACAAATCTCAATAAAAATACTACAATAGCAACTATGTGTTTGGAGACGAATATGTTGTACAGGCCCTGGAATGAGTCCTGGTCAAAAAAGGAATTCCTGGTGGCGGCACCAAGTGGCTTGAGATATGAGTACCCAAGTGATAGTGCCTTTACGGAAATGTCACGTCCTTGTCGTCGTTGGTGCCGTATATAGAGAGTCAGATCCTAGTACTGCAACAGCACTTGGTTTAAGATACGGTCTAGGTTATTAAAAAAATTCAGAATTGGGTCAGAGAGAATTTTAAAGTTAAGCTTAGACTTACAACAGAGATATACAGATGTTGCATCTGATATATAATTTTTAAATCACCTGACACAGGTTATAATAGGTATTCAGATCGCTTAATTTTGTCTTTTTTCTGCTTGTTTCATCTATTTTAATTTATATTAGAATCGGTTTAAGTTCCCCTTTCCTTTTTTTCTATTTGTTTCATTTTTTCTTTTGTTTCTGTTTTCTTTTTTAGAACAATTTCTATTTTTTTCGGTTATGAGGGAGCTTTTAGAGAGTTTCTTTAAATATACCTTTCTTCATAATATTGACATATATGTTAGTCTTATGTAGAAGTAGGAGGTAATATGTATAATCTGCTGGGATTTAAGTGGATTGAGTTTGGGAA